TAATCGTAATCACCAATAATTATCTCATAAAATACCTTGTTCATGTGAAACATCAGCAAAACCAGGGGGTAGTGCAGTCACTTTTATCTCTGGTGACCTCGATGGCGTGTTGAAACCACGTGATTTACTGCGACTGCATGAAGAAAGGGATGACTTAGTTCCATCAAGAATCTTTAACTCGCTTTGTGAATTCCTGAAAAAACGTTAGAATTTTAACATTTACTTCTTGCGAATTTATGCTCAACAAGTATCAGGCTAAGCTGGTTTGCTTGGACACTCTCAGTGCCCTAAACTATTTCAATTGTTTTTGAAGCGATCCATCTAATCCTTATACGAAAGACCTATACAAAAAGCAATACTTACAAAGGTAGTTTAGAAATAGCGACACTGGCCATGTCTAATTCTTCATCCTCGTCAGTATAGCCTGAGATCTTAATCACATTTTCTTTCTCCGTCAATTCCATTGTCTCCATTTTTGATACTTTATTATCTGAAATACAGCAGGCATATTTAATTTAATTTAATTTAATTTATTTGGTCCAAAGAACATAAAAACTGACAAATACAAAATAACAGTGGGAGGGAAAAAAACACTGTCCCTTGGCGGATCCAGGATTTTAGAATAGAGGAGACACAGGAAGTGCCTTTCACGGATGGAGGGTTTACCACCTCAGTCCCACCTTGGTTTGAAGTGAGGTAAGATCTGAATAATGAGTTCGGTTAAGGCAAGAGCTCCAAAACCAATTAAGGTAGTGGAGAAGGTCACCAAAACTTACAGGCATTATATCGGCGCTTTTTAGGGCTATAAACCGTGTTTATGTGTATATGTATATATGTATATTTGTATATATTTATGTATTTTAGTATATACTATAAATAGTTTGAACCGTACTAGAATTGAAGAGGATCTTGATCACAGCCAGGGTCACGATGATAATGATGATCGTTATGACTACAACCAAGGCAATTGCCCATCCAGGGAAAAGAGATGGATTGGGCTAGTAAGAAAGAAAACATTTTATATTAGAATCAAACATTTATATTTGATATTGTTGTTTCTTCATAAATTGTCATAATTAATACAATCATTAACTCATTGAAAATAAATATAACATAATATAATACAATTCAATATAATATAATATAATATAATAAATATAATATAATATAATATAATGTAATATAAATATATTATTTCAATGTTCACTCATACATTTAGACCATAATGTTCACCATCAACAAGCATATAACTGGTATCCGCTTCAAGAATCTGTCCATTGAATGTCAACGCAATACGACCAGCCGTGAGGTCAGAGTAGATAGCATCCTTGGTGTTGTCAGTATCACCAGCCATTTTGAAAACAATCATGATTGAACCTTTTGAAGCGAAACGAATACACTTTAATTTGTATTTTAGAAATATACAAAATTGTACAAAAGTTAGGAAAGCATATAGGCAAAATTTTAAATTACACAATTAAAAATGCAAGTTCAAATGTGTGCACAATTCTGCTCATATACGATTTATGTCCTGCTTTCGGTGATATTTTGTGCAAAATATTGTTCCTAATACTATTCCAATTTGATCTTCTTTTTTTTGCATCTTATTGGTACAGAAATAACACAGACCATATTTACACGTTTATAATTTTAAATCTTTCAGACTTTTATCCTGCATGTTTATTTCTAAACACTTTTCTTTCTTTATTGCTTGGTAATTGTTCTTTTTTGTCCTCTTGTCCTTGTTAATCACCGTTTTTGACAGATCGTCAAAGTAGCTGTAATCAAACGAACTCCTTCTTTAATCATTTTCCCTAATATGATAGTTATAAAGACCTTGACCCGGACATCAATGTTATGCAAATGATAACAATATACCTAAGTAATTTCGTAATATGGTTTATTCATATTGATTGTAATAAAAGCTTCTTTATAAACCATTTTAATTCCAGAAGCATTGAATGCAATTTTTGACCCTAATTGTACCGTTTTAGAATCCCTAATTTTTTCCTTCGACATAATAGCTGTTACCGAATCTTGGCTAAAAACTGATTCTTCTTTAGTTCAAATTAATAATTACCGGTACTCTTTTATTCCTAAGAACAGGACACTATGTGGTAATGGTTGAGGCGTCAGTTTTTTTATACGTGAACATTGTCCTTTTAAAATTCGAACAGACATACAGACATTTTGAAACAGTTTGCGATTTTTTTAAAATTGAAATTAAGCAAACATCTCAGCGCAATTATGTTGTCGGTGTTATTTCTCGACAACGTCATAGATTCTATGGATGTTATTCTAGACAAATTTAATAGTGAAAATAAAATAGTTTGCCTTTTAGGTGATGTTAATATTAATCTTCTTGAATACTCGTCTCATATTCGAAATCAAAACTTTGTTAATTTTTTTTCAGTAATTCTTTTCTTCTCTTAATACATCTGCCAACTAGAATTACCCCAACTTCAACTACACGTCTTGCCCACATTTACGCTAATCAAACAAATCAGTCTGTAGCCTCTTTTGTGATGACCATCTTCATATATTTAATATTTCCTTTACTCCACAAAGACTCGTTCAATAATAATCCGCCGCCTTCTAGAGTCATTGATCAAATATATATGAATATATTTAAAGATCGCCTCCGGGAATTAAATTGGGAAACGCTACATAATGACCCTTGCCTACAACAACTTTTAATCTTTATTAATTACCATATACAATCAATGCTTTCTTTTAAACAGTCAACTAAATATCAAACAAAATCTAATAAACACAGATATAAATTCTATTCGAAATTTATAAAGAATTCTTCAGCCAAAAATGAAAAGAATGTGTCTGGAAAGTAATCGAAATATTCTTACTTCTGTGACTACCAAATCATATTTTTTAATAAAAAAAAATTTCAACAAAACAAAAATGATATTAAACAAACATGGACTACCAATAATAAACTTCTGACCAAATTTAATAATCATTAATCCGCAACTAGTATTAACTGTAACAATAGACTCTCCAAATATATATATATATCAAATGTATATGAATATATCTAGAGGTACCAAAATAATCACAAATTGTCTTACCTCATCCCTAAACATGTTAGTGCTGAAGAGATTTTGCTCCCCCCCCCCAGCACACATCAAGATGATAAACAGTTTCATTGGACTAAATTCTTGCTTATGTTAACTACATGCTTACCTTGCATAAATGAGGTCCCATGAAAAATATGAGGCGCCAAGTGTAAATTCATTATTTAACACAATTATTGATAACCAATTCATTATTTAACATATAATTGAGTAGATCACGCATTATTTATATATAATGCATTTACGTCTAAAAAATTATATGTAAATAATTGCGTTAACGTTTTTCATTATTTATATATAATTAGTTTACTGATTTCATGATGTATGATTACATTATCATTGTATGTCATTTGAATACTGTTTTGTAATTAATATGCTCCACGTATATATTTAAAAAATGGGATATACAGTAAGATATTTTATTTATAAATATATTTATAAAACGATGAAAAAAAATAAATGAGATTGAATAGAAGTGGGTTACCCCCACACAAGAGAAAAAAACAATATTACTGATTTCATTTGATGTCCCTGTCGTTTGACGAATGACTAGGACGTCGGGTCGAAAATTATAATTTACCTATCCGAATAACATTATTTTGATTGCCAATCCCTAATATTGTGGTCTAAAAGCACATTTTGGACCATAATAAGCCATTAAAACTCTTCCTATAAACCCTATCAAATTTGTTTTATTCCAGGACGTCGACCGAGGCTTTGTCGGCCATTTAGTTCGGACACGTCGGACCTCTCGTGGGCAAATTTCTGGCGCCGAAGACTAAGTTTAACAGGTAGCGAATAAAAATGATTTTTGAAATTGATACCTACGCAGTGTTAAATTCTCACTTTATTTTTTGGCAGTTTTCCTGAGAAATTAACGATCGGTGTCGCGTAGGACAACTTGCAGTACTGGCAACTTGGTATTATGTCTATTGGAAGCAGTGATACTTCAATTCATGACAAAGTAAAAGCATCAATACAAACCTGAGTGAATTAATTTTATTTTCTTATCAAATTAAACATTTTGATAAATATTTTTCGATGCAGAAATAAAAAGAGAATAGAAAGTCCAATATTTTAATAAATTTAACAAAATCTCAATAGCAGTTGTTAAATTGTACGAATATAATATGTTCGTGTTCTTGGTTTGTGCATGGTTTGTTTTAAACGACACACAAACGGTGGATTTAGGCCTACATTGCTTATGTGTGTAAACAACAGAATACACGCAAAACCGATCGTTTCTTAAATAAGTGTCAACCAAATCAGCCATTAAACAATAAAACGAGACTTCCAAAAACAAATACTGTAGTTTTTATGACGAATACATTATCTTGAAGTTTTCGGAATGTAGGTAATATTTTTTGTCCGTACTACCGTTTTGGCTAGCTTCCAGAGATAAGATATGTCCATGATAGTCCATAGAGTCGCATACATCACATTTTATTTGTCAAAATAGAAAACCAGTAAATAGTGCACAACTTCATATTCAGTTTATCTTGGGTAAAAAAAAATCATAACGAATAGATTTCTGGAAAGTCATTTTTGCCAGTTTACAAACGTTTGAACTCAAGCGCACCATGAAGGTATCATATGACACCCAGGCGAATGCAAAGGTTCCTATTGTTAATAGGAACCAAAATGTTATTAGAATTATTTCGGGTTCACAACCCATTAGTCATACTGATCCTTTTTTCCTCTTTAAAATTGAAATTTTGCGACATTAATATTTTTCAACAATGTTTCTTCATGCCTGATCTAGTTCACAGAAAATCTTCTTAACTTTTCAATAATTTGATTCAGTTTAATTCAGATGTCCATAATTATTTCACTAGATTTGCTCATCAATTGCACTAACCCTTACCTCGTACTAATGCTCTTATTTCTAATTTTCCAGTTCACTGTTTGGAATAAAATTCCTCCTGAATTTAAAAACATCTTCAAAAAGAAGTGTTTTAAACTCACACTCAAATCTTATCTTATTTCTATTTACTAATTCTTTTTTTCTGTTCTTCTAAGCGTTTGTTTGATTACAGTTCGCTTTAGTTTATTTGACTTGTCTGGTCTTTGTTGTGTTTTCTTGTTCTTCGTTTTGTATTTGTCGCTCACTATTTCACATTACCCTTTAGTTATGGCTTTTCCGATACAGGCCTGTAATTTTTAACTTGCTTTCTTCTTTGTTCTTTGTACATCTCCATTTTAATTTTGTAGTATTATATTGATTTTTGAAAGAAGTGAATAAATGTTTCATTTGATAGCATTGTTTTTAACTAACAAATGATTACGTCAAGAAAACCATTGAAGAACCTACTGAAATGAATAACTTCTGTACTTATAATAATGGATTCATCGATAATAATGATAATAATATTTGCGCATTTATATAGCGTACTTTACTAGAATCTCAGAGCGCTTAAAATGTATGAACTATGGACTTGAGAAAGAGTGGTAGAATAATGGATGACAATGGGAAGTGTGTTCCTGAGAATAGATGAGAATGCATAAAGGCGTTTTAGAATAGATATCAAGTTTGTTCTTGGTGAATATAGTATGAAAAAATCAAGTCCAGAAAGCAAGCCTACGCGTGAAAGAGTACGGAGAGTTTTTGAAGGTAAGTTGGAGCAGTACCATGGTGTAGACACATATAAGTCAGAGTTAAATCTTGCAAGTCATGCGTTTATGGACTGGTTGCCAGTGAAGCCGTAAGAGTAATGGTGTGACATGGTCAATTTCCTCGCTCGGAATATTACGTTTGCCTCCCTGTTCTATCTCCATTTAAGCACAGTATGTTTTGCGTCATCGATTTAATTCTAGTATAGAATCAGTGAGAATGAAAAAGTATGGGCTCGTGCTGGACCCTAGGACTTACGCATTTCCCATTTGAGACGACCCAAAGGTTTCAAATGGATTGAGATTTTGTAATGTTGGTGACACATATTTCCAAAGAAATGTTACGTAGTTTGCTCTTATTGTAACATGAAACCGTATTAAGGAATTCCGTTTTATCCATTCTTTAATATTCCAGTATATAATGAAAAATGTGAAAGAGCTTCAAAATTGTATGATGGATAGAAACATCTGGAATGCACGTGCAGGCATCAGTGCGACCTGGCGGTCGGCGAAGGTAAGGTAAGATAAGGTAAGTATATAATCTGTGAGAATACGAAGAGATACATTGGACTCGTATTGGTCTCTATGGTTTAAACTTAAAAATAAAGTTAAGTGTCGTCAGCATATACATGGTATTTGACACCGTCTCTACTTATAACATCATCAATAGACTTACTAAAAATGAGTATAATTGTGTTCCAACACAGGATCCTTGAAGTACACCAGATTCAAAGATCTATACTTCTAGATAATTCATTGATTTAAATTTCCGTAGAATCCAAACAAATTATACATATTATATATTTTCATATTGGTATGACTTTTGTTTTAAAAGCAGGATAAATCTTTAGGATAATTGAATAGATTACTCACCTTCATATATATCCACATTAGTAATGGTTACGCTGGGGTACGAAATGGCAAAATTATTTATGAAATTAATCTCAAGATATTTTTCCTTGCCAGCAGCAACCGTTGCATAATCTGCTAGAAAACGCAATGCTACTTTGACCGGGTTACCAGTATAGCTGACACCATTAGTCACATCAAATGAAACCAATTTCTGGGACAGGTGGTACGTGCTTGATGGAACTGTGACCACATCTACTTCTAGGACGTACTGGAAGCCAGCAGCATCAACGGATAAATTGTAAAAGACACCCTGTGCTGACTTAAGGTCCACCTCAACAGATGTGTCACCTTCCAGACGACCAATGTAATTTGATGGCATATACAAACTGACAGTCGCTGTCCAATTATAACCCTTAAGAAGAAATAAAATTATTTCATCTAAACTGCATTTTCAATAGAGGAAAACGTTATATATGATTAAAAAAACAAGCATTATTATCGTTAATATTACCTTAGCAACGAGACCTTTTGCATTGGCCATTGTAAAAACGTCAACAAGATCAAACTGAACATCAAACTTTTCTAGAATTTTCACGGAACCTGTTGGCTGAGAACTGATTACAATATTGTACATGCTTTCTTTGACAGGAAACCCGACTGTGCTGACCATTTCAAGAGTTGACTCGTTAGGATAAAAGATACTAAAGTCTAAGATGTATTGTGTTCCAGGAAGATCAATGGTCAGATCAGTGAAGTTAGCGCAGCCAAAGATAACATCTGTAGTAGTGTTGCCAACCAGTTGTCCACCAGATGTCCTTGTTCCTTCTTGGAGTGACGCTTGCATCTTCCACGGGTGTGAAGAATGACCTAGGTTCGCTACTACTGCACCCTAAAAAATATACTTTAATATTGAAATAAAATTTCGAACAAAAATAAATTTATCTTCAAATTATATATCAGTCGTTGAAACAAAAAACTATTGCAAAAACACTATATTTCTTTCTTTTGAAAATATAAATATAAATATGTTAGACTAATGTATAATACAAGGAATCAAGAACTATTATAACCACAGCACTAACACTACTTACATTGCTGTCTAGGACGCATATACGAGGTTGGACTACAAACGGTTGGCCTTCAGAAGCATTTGCTGGCTGTACAATTATGTTCATTATACTTGGAAATTGGTAAATAACATCAACTCCAAGCTTACTAGCCGCCTTCGCCTCCTCTTCAGCCTGCTGCTCGGCGTACCTATTTTAAAAGAAATGTTTTGTTTATGGATATTTACAATAATTATTTTCTTGTCGTGCTAGTGAAGGCAAATGTTGATTATACTATGCAAAGTATAATAACCAGAATGCAGCGGTTATTCATTATTAGAAACCAATAATTTTCTTCATTTTTCATTTTAGTTTTCCGTACGTTTTATTCCCTGTACTTGGACCACCAGTTTCATTTGTTGCTCTCAATCCATCTGTTTGGTCTATTGCTGGAGGAACAGGATCGGTCATTGCTAGAGATGTAACTTCAACTTCTAAAGCATCTGAAAGCATACCAGTCTGAGCTGCATTGGCGATCTCTATCTGAATACTTATAAGAGCATCATAATCAAGAGTGGAATTGGAGTCAGTTGAATTGCCTGTAGAAATGAAAAGATAATTTATAAGAATTTTTAACAGTTAATTATTATAAAATTGTCAATAGTTTTTTTGGCAGAGCAGTTAACGGAAACGGCTTCAATGAGTTCAGTTGAAACTTTTAAAAACACTGTATTAACATTAGCTTCAATCAAGAAAGAAAATAGAATTAAATCATATCGCATGCCTAATTAAAAATTCAGAAATTGCAATTTCTAAGACAGGTCAAGTACCGTTATTATTGTTAAAACATGTGGTTTATGAATGAGTAAAGTAAGAACTTACCGAATTTTCATAAAAATATAAATGAACACTAAAGATGAACCAGTATTTACACACTGAAGATAATTAACAGGGTCACAAATAATAAGCAAATGTATAATTTTTTTAAAGTCAAAATACCTGAAAAGTTTTGATTTTGCGTGTGATTTGATGTAATCGATGGTGTGTCTCCAATTTCAATCTCAACTTCAATTTCTGTGGACCTTCGTCGACGACCACCTTCCCTGACAACATCTACTACACGGATCTGCGAGTCATCTATTCCAAGAAGACTTGCAAGATTAGACACAAGGTTCTCTTCATAGAAATCATCAACATCAACTGGCGCTACACCAACCGTCACCATAACAACTGGAGAAGTGATAATGTCAAGTGGTTTACTTCCACGCAGAAGTACCCATAGTATCTTCCAATCACGGTCAAAATAGTTTTCCCCATAAATGTTGGAGTCTGGAGTAGGGTTGAACTGATCATTTGGAAGATTCGGATCTTTTGCAACCCATGTGAACGTGTCTCCATCCATCTGACCGTTGTTTGGCATCACATAACGTCCTTGGTGGTAGACATCCAAGCGTTGTGGGTTGGCATACCAGATACCAACCACGACCTTCTGATCTGGTCTAGTATTCAGAAGATGAAGCCGAATATGCTGGGGGTTTGTACCGGACATGTACATCTCATACGTTTGGCCTGATGCAACGACAGCCATAAATGTACTGATCCGTTCTTGGCATGTGTAGCCATGGCACCAACCGTGATCCTGTGGTCCATTGATTAAATCAACATAACCGTTAGACGTAATAGCAATGGGCGATAATCGACGTACCTCCGTGTCAGGATCCATACTTTCGATTATCATCATATAATAATCATAATCATGACATTCATAAGCTTGCCAAGGACGACGCCAAATGCAGTTTTCTGTTCCGATTATTCCTAAGAGAGAAAAAAAATCGAAAAAATGTAAATGTGTAAGGTAATGACTGCCTCAATAGCTGGCTACGGCATTGGTACTGACTCATATTTTATAACATACATAACAGAGCATTAAAGTTACCAGCCATGGTGGAATGACCCGCTACTGAATGTTGGCAATTGTTATTAAGTTTTTCTATCATCTTGACTTGCATTTTTTGTTACAAATAGAAAAAATAAAATAAAAATGAATAAAAAAAATTAAAAAAATCCCCCAAAATATAGAAAATTATAAATGTGAGGTGGCAAACAGTACACGGTCTCGGTAATGCCACTTTAGATTTGATATTATTACCAACCTTTGTGTGGACATTTTTCATCATAAGGAATTCTGCTACCATCAATATCGGTTACCATCATCTTAGGGATCCTGTAGTCACCAAGACCATATCGTGGATCTCCATCCCACTCAAATGCCGAGTCCGGTATGACTGTTCCTGAACTTCCAAGGATTCCTCCATCCAAATCCTTGATGAAGACTTTACGCTTCGCATCACACGTCATGTCAACACAATCAGATGGATTCACTTTTCTAATATTATAAATATCAAAAATGAATTCATATACATTTTGAAGAAAACTATACATCTTTGTGCATAGTTTAATTAGGATAATATTACCTAGGATTTAGAATAATATTACCTATAATGCCAGGCTATGTAGCAGATTTTGCTTATTAAAATCTTGATGATTTTTGTAAGACATATCTTAAAAAGGCATGGGCAATAAGATTAAGTATTAAGTCTAGTCTGGCATGTTATTGTTTTGTGATCAATTGTTGATCCCGATCCTGTTCAATCATCAGTACAGTATTTTAGTTTTTAAGAATGAGATATATAATGTAACAGATGCAACAAGTAAGAATGAGATATATAATGTAAGAGGTGCAACAAGTAAAATTGCTAAAATTTGATAAGGTTTATTAAAAGCACACCTGTCAAAAAATCTCTAAACCCAAAATAAAATGGGGCACTTCACTGTTTTATTTTAACTAACTGTATTTTGATTCTTACCCTAAACTGGGCCTGTGTATAAACACTCTGTTGTCGAATTTTACTGACACCATGTGTGTTCCAATAGCTGTCATTGGATGTATTCCATCTTCATTCGACGGGTTACTCATGATGCAATAATTTTGCACATTACAAGCCGATCCAAAATAAGCAAATGTTACATCTGTTAAGAAATTATAGTATCTATATACATTACATACTTTCAAGCTCATCATAATTTCAGATGTACCCAAGAATACCAAGGATTAATAATAATAATAATAATAATAATAATAATAATAATTATTATTATTATTATGAATAGTGATGAGAGCAGCTTAGCTCAGTCGGCTAATCTGGTGGTACCCACTGTGTGTGCGCTGAACTGTGGAGATCTCTAGCTTCCTGGTTCAATTCTCATCGCTGCCTCTCCTTGTATTTCAGCTGGAGGGCTGAAATACAAGTTAATAGCGCACCGACTTTCGGATGAGACGTCTAAGCCGTTGATCCCGTGTGAGAATTGATGGCCCATGTGCACGTTAAATCCCCTACTCTTCGAAAAAGAGTAGGGGATTGTCTCCCGGTGTACTGCTCAATCACCACCAGAAGGACTCCACCGGAAGTAAGTCTTCTTCTAGACTTTCGTGGGCTATCCTTGGTGAATAAATGCAATCCAATCCAATAAACAAAACTATCACCAATGTCAACAACAACAGCAACAACAACAACACCACCACCACTACCAATAATAATACTGTAATAATAATAATAATAATAATAATAATAATAATAATAATAATAATAATAATTCTGCTAAGACTTTAAATCGTTTCAAAACAGGACTTGATCAAGCTTAGCCAGTCACCTATTACAATTTGCACCATTTTTAAGAAGTGATATTATTTTCAAAAGGGGCTTATAGGCATAGCTTATCCTCTACTCCAAAATTTGCAGTGCAGCGCCACCCGATTTAAAGTACAACATAGGCCTACAACGAATATAGACATGGTCCTTAAATCGCCTAACTATCCTGAAAGGGTTATTCGATGGGCTGAGGGTTTTCTGAATTCAATACTCAGCTGCCAAAGCCGGGTCTCAAGATGCAGGAACTATACCGATTAGCCAAACGCTCAGCTCTTTCGTCATCATATCATATAATTTGCATAAGTGTAAATCCACATTCAAAAGTTGCATTATTTTAAGTATACATAATAATAGGTTCTACTAACCATCTAGTTTAGTGACCCCGGCGATGGCAGGATAGTTCATATTATCATGGAATGGTTTGAATGGAGCACCGTTCGCACCGGACATAAAATTTGCTAAGACAAATCCAGCCTTTCCTCCGCCAGGACCCCGTGGTGCCCGCTGTTTCGCACTTTGTCCAGCGTTCTCAGGTTGTGACTAAATTGAGAAAAGTGAGAGTAAATAAGAATGATGCTCAATGATACTGTGTGCATTGTACATTCTTGCTGACTATAGTAAACTTAAATACATTTTGTTTTCATAGAAATCTGCTCAGTAAACAATTATTCATTGGACTATGACAAACCATTCTCGAAAGTTTTGTGTAGATTGATAATTTTTTTTGAGATACTAGGTCTAGGACGTTAGTTCTTTAACTGACCCCCAATTTCACACCCGAATCTGGATCGTCACCAACGTTTAAAAATTTCTTTCTTGTAACCCGATTCTCTTCCAGAAGTTGCCATTCAGATCAGCTGATCAGTTTTTAAGATATCTGGTGTGGGTGATTCTCTTTAATGGTACCACATATCCACGCCCTGCTCTTAATTTTCACCAAATTTCATAAGGTACATATTGAGTATATGGTCTATGCTTAAAAAAACTTTTGCACAATATCCTAGCATGGAAAGAGACCAAAGTGCCGGGCATGAAAAAATCAGCTGATTCTAGAGTATCTGATCAGACCAGAAAAAGTATAATCTTGCATCTCCATGACATTGTAAACTAATTTTAGATTTATCTGTGTTAGATATTGAAATATTTTTTTTTTTTTTGGAAAAAGAAAAAAATACTTGAATTATTTAATGGACGCAGAAATTGTTGATAAAAATATATATCGTTAAATTTGAGTTAACCCACTCCACCATTATATAGTGTTCGTATATCCAGGTACATCACTAAGTTACGTAACAGAATGCAACATATCAAATTACTTTTACCTGTAATTCATCACAATCGAAGAGTGGACTTGAGCCAATTATAAATGACCTTTCTATGCTGACGTACTTTTCAGCTACCACGTGACTCAACGCAGAAGGTCCAAAGACAAAAGGCATGACACCGATGTTATTGTCTGCAAGAATGAGCTCAGACATTACGACAGAACTTGAAATCTGAAAGTAGACGCCATAATCCCAGGTCTTCCAAATGAAGAAATTTGCAATCTTTGTGCAGCCTCTTAGGCCATCACCAGCCATCAGGTAAACACCATGTAAGGACGAGTGACCTTCGTTATTTTGCCATAAAGTTTTAGAAGCACAGTTCTCACCGCTAATGTGGTATAGTACACGTTCTGATCCTGCAACTGTATTGTTCGCTAGCAAGACATTCCTTGAACTTTCAATTTCGATACCGGCTGGCCATGAGATATCTTCTTCATTGTAGCGGTTTTGGTAAGTTCCAGGGAACACGGTCAGTGTTATAAGGTTGTGCAAAATTTGATGGTCACTGCCCCATGCAATGATACCTAAAATTGAAAAACAAAAATCACCACCAAAATATATTGCAAAATGCAAACTGCATGTTATACCATATATATCCTTTAAACTTTTAGGTGTGGAGTATATAAAATACCGATACAGAGAGTTTAAATATGAAAATAAAATTTCATACACAGGAACTTATTTAACTAAATTAGAATGGCAATACATCACCTGCACCAACTGTGTGATGGATGACATTGTCTTCAATGAGGATTCCAGAAGCTCCAAAGATTCCAATAGCCGGACTGAAACCATTATGGAAAGTACAACTACGCACGTAAGACGGGTTGGCCACAGTCACCTCACCGGTATCTAAGAATGCAACTGAGTATCGTGGATCGTAGAAGTCAGTCCAACCCTCCTGTCCAGAATGATAGAACTCCACATTCGACATTTTTGCAAAGCCTGAGTACAAAACGTAAATTATGTAATAATTAAGTGACAGACAGGTATGCCTATAAAGCATATGTTTCACCACATACAACTAAAGTCAATAACATTACAGTATTAATAATATTTTTTTCATGGGATTGTTAATTGTTTTTCCTCCAACTGTTTTTAATTTTTTTTAAATTATTTATATATTTTAATATTTTATATTTTTGATAAAATTAATATTTAGTTAATAATATTGAATTTGGAGCTGGAGGGGCACACCATATCCGGTGATAGTAGTTTTTGTACCGCTTTTGCCTCTCCTCAGCCCTCCTTTGTCCTCCTCTTTCTTTTTTGATTTTGTTTTTTTGTGGTTCTGGCTGAAAGGAATAAAATAAAAATAAAATAAAATAAATTTGAATAATATTTTTTATTTCGTTACCTTTATATTCAATACCGTCCTGTTCAAATTTGCCAATTAGAACTCTAGCCCCGAATGACTCTGTGAATGATTGGTTATAGTCGACACCGATGATCTTGATGTTTCTGGATAAAAGGCCGACCTCGGCGGCTTCAGTGTAAGTGAGTGAGCCATCTTCAAGCGTATGGGTGTGAGCTTGAAGTTAAACAAGTATTACTTTTAAATGTATATTCTATATTTATTTAATCATTAAATTATAAATATTAGTATTTCCAGGGAACAGTTCCCTGATATATCTAAATAACAGTACATTAATGTCTATTGTACCATTCTTAATATTTGTATTATAACTGGTAACGTTTTATTATTACAAATATATTTATACTGTTACAGGATCACACACACATATATTTAATATATATATATATATATATATATATATATATATATAATGTGTATATGAATACAACTTTATATATTAATTCTTTTGAAAATGAGTCGTAAAGAAGTACCTACCTATATGTTTATATTTTGCTGTCTCGTTAATATGAACTGTACGACCATCTAGTATTTCTATTATCATGAATGTCTCTGTCTCCCATGCCTCGTAAGAAGTTGACGCTACAACAATTTTATCTCCGGCTGCCCAGGTAACGTACTCTGCCAGTTGGATAATGTTGTCACCTGAATTAATAGTCTTGTTCAGGTGTGTCCATGTAATATTAGGTGAAACCCCATGCATCTCCAAACGTCCAAAAACACCTACATTATTATAAACATTATAAATATAAATACAAGAATGGTTTATGGAAGGTGAGATGGATCAGTGGTAAGAGTCCTCCATCGAGGACAAAAAATAAAAATACTGTCGGGAAGGAAAAAAATATTTAATTTTTATAGAATTTAAAATTGTAAAATCAATTTTAAACCCCTATTAAATTGTCTGAGAATTTCCAGTGGATTTGCCACTAGATCCACACTGAGTGGCTTGGTTACCCCTGGCCATGCTCATTTTGCATCTGTCGGCAATATCGCCTCACTTGTGCCGAAATTGAACTTTTCGTTCTAGCGCCACCGATGTTTGTGTAGTTTTTTAAAAGACAGTTTGCTATATATATATAT